TTTTTACAGTTGTATTTAAATCATGTTAATTTTATTCAAAATTAATGTAATGATTATTAGTGGTAGTTTATTTTTAAGTTTAAGAGGATAACTAAGAGTTCATACAACATTTGAAGCCTTAGTTATCAACTAAATTTAATAATTATTTCATAGATACAGTAAGTTATTCAGTTATAACAGAAATTATAAATGAATGAGCCTATGAGGACCTATGAGCCTTGGTTTTTCAAGTTGCATTCATGAATCAGTGTTCATTACTTTCTTCAGCTCAAATAAAAGAGTATTTTTGACGAAACACTTTGTGAAACATAGGCTTACCAATTGTGCCTGCTAATAGTTTTCTAAATGTCACTGTGTTTCCAATAACATAAGATTACTCCGAAGAGTCCATAATTACACAATGCTTACTCTCTTTGTGATTCAGGATCAGAACTGGACCCAGTTGTCCTTGTGCTTGGAGTGTCGTTGGCCTGCTGTGTGATTGTGATAGTCGTCCTTATTTTCTTCAGAAATCAAAGGAAAGTTTGCAAAAATTGCAAAGGTAGGTTCACCGTCTCTTACTTTAGTTTCTGTTTGCTTTTTGAGATTGTACCATAAAGCTCTGAATGAAGGAAAATACTTTGCAGTTAAAACAGAACATGTGGGTTTGCGTTTATACTATCTCCAAAATATAATGGAATGATGGACAATCCATCAAATAAGTCTTCTTTAGGTCAACATACTGTCCATTTGTGTGTCTATTCAACAGAATATGAGGATTGTTCAAACCAGCGAGTCATTTTCATTGTCCCTCTGAGATATGTCCGACTACACTATCCTGTTACAGCAGGAAAATATTGGACATCTGATTTCAGAAGTCAGTCATTACAAACTATCATCCGTCCCTCGAGTAAATCACGTCACCCTGACTGCAGAAAGCTTAGTGGAGCTCTTCAGTGCTTATCATTGGGCTTATTACAGAAGTAAATATGTTGAAGTGTGAAGCCAAAACTGAAAATGTGATCCACACCTTTTGTTTGATTTCTTTGTCCTCAAACGAGATAATGAAAAAATTCACATCGATATGTGTGTACATGCATTATGAAGTCTTTGTTTTTATATTGACAGGAGCAGAGAGTGCTTCCCATCATCTTGGACATGACAGGTCAACTGTGGATCAGTCAAATGATCTGGTAAATATGTGGCAGCGTGCTGTCTGATTCACACCGGCTAGCGATCTAGATGTGGATGTGTGATAAATATACTGCCACTAATCCTCTGGACAAAACACACATGATATTATACTCATAACATACAAGACAAATCAAATTAACTGTTGAGTAGCTACATACAACATCATATCTGTTACTATATGACAAATGAGGTAAAAGTCAAGACGATTAAATATAGTAATGATGACTGGGAAATTACATTTAAACAGTATGTTAAGATCGATGTAAATTCGCTGTAAAAAAATCTTTACTCTTGATTTTGTGTTGAGCAGCCCAAATCTCTGAAATATTTGTCATTAACACAAATATTTCTTGCAGGATGCTGAAGCAAAGGGAATAAACTATGCAGCACTGGATTTCTCCAAACAGAAAATGAAAAGAGGGAAGAGGAAGAAGAGAGAGTCGCCACAAGAGTGTGAGTACTCTGTTAGAGCAGATTACCACAACCAGCAACACCCTTCTCCATAGAAAGAGCAGGGCCCGTGAAGAGGTCCCAAGGTCTCCACAGAGAGCTTCAGCATTGGTCTGCTCGTACAGAACTTTTTATTCTTAACTGATGTTCGTTAGTGACAGAAAGAAGTTGTGAATCAGAATGTGTACATCTTCTAAACAAATGTTGCATGCTGATTTTATGGGAGAGCACCAGATTTTCAGTTGCTTTGTGAATTCGTAGCCACAGAAAGTGTAGTTGTATAACATCAAGGTCATCATGTCTGTGGCCTTGTTTACTTTTGTTATTTTGTTCACATAAAGATGGATATTTATATTGTCTCCTCATGTGAAATAACCACATCTTCACTCATCACAAATAGTACAAAATAGTACGAAATGGCTGAAATATGTTGCATCCTTTTACCACTGTATCAGATCTGTAGTTGAGCTCAAAATGAAGGTTGTGTTTAGAGATGGGTGTGGGTTGAGCAAGGGTGCTAGAATTAGGTGGTTAGGAAGTTGGGAAGGGGCCTTTCTCTACCTCAATCTAACTTTAACACACTCACATACCAGGCAAATAAACACCAACATCTCTCAGAAACTAACAGTTTATATACAGAGACAGGAAGCAACTCACTGTCACTCTCCATCATGTGATTATCAATCTCTAAAAATGAAAATTGAAACACCATGAACCTCAAAGTGGTGTCAGCTGAACTTACAGGTTACACAGCAGTCATAAATATTCCATGTGGAGTGCTGATGGCGATGAAGAAAGTTGATTTGTGGTGAATTCTGACATTTGAATATAATGTGTTAACAGACTTTGTACATTAAGATGCATCCTGCAGTGATTACAAATGAAAGTATTTTCAAAATGAACACACTGTACACATATTGAACTTGAAGTAAACAGGTGTTCATTTTTATTTCAATTTCATTGTAGTTGTGGTATCTTTTGTCATAAGTTAGTTTGCTAAGAAAGGAAACAACACATGCACACAAATATGATATATCATATATATTTTAGTACAATCATGCTTATTAACAGATAAAAAAAATAAAGTGAAAGAGAGACAACCCTTCTCACCCACTTTCAAAATGAATATTCCAAAAAGCAAACTTGGGTAGATGCATCATTCGAGTAGAAACATTTAATAGTAAAACGCACAAAAATGTGACAAAATTACAAGGATGGAATGCACAATGCTACACGTACATACTATTACCAAAAACGTTACTGTTAAATGTTCAGACTTTGGATCGTTTATACATCACAAACGTCCTGACATCTGTGTAGATCGTCTCTTCTCTTTGATTCCTTCTCTCTGCTTTGCCAGCTTTCCTCCTGGTAAAGTTTGGTGTACAATAAACCAAAGAGTCCTCATCTCTCTGAGTGAAAAAATGTAACATGAGAAAGCAGATTCTAATACATGCACATACAGATACATAACCATTGCGGGTATCTTTTATTTAGTAGCTACATCTTTATATACCTTACCTGCTGATTTTGCTGATTGTTACTGGCTGTTGCAGCATTTGTTTGAGGAGTGGCAGCAGCTGTTTTATTAAAACAAATATTGAAAAAAAATAAACTGTTAAAGATGGATTTAACTTTATAGAAGATGCATGATACTGTATGTTCTCACACACAGCACACATGTAAATCAAATGTTCGCTTTTGGGGAAACACTATTAGGTCGAGTAACGTCTCTTACCTTTGCAACAATCGCAGGATTTGATCCTGACGGCATAAACAAGGACGGCTATAACAATCAGACTTATAGCCAGAGCAAAACACGCCACAAAGAGAATTGTGTTGTCGTTCTTTGAATCACAGGTGCTGTCAACTGAAACATTAAATCAACATATAATTAACATTAAGAGGAATAAACATTTTAGATTATTAGATAACATGATCATATACATACCTCCAATGTTCATATTGACAAGATATCATTGACAGGATGATATAATGCATGTGGTACAATTGCTTTGTGATACATGATCTAAATGGATTCAAAGTGAATCTGTATTAATGATTTGTATTGAAATGTTCTGCCGTTACCTTCAATGTCCAGTTTTGTTCTATTTCCAAATAATATCTCTCCACATGTGGCCACAGCGCAGTAATACGTCCCGGCATCGGAGGAGCTGACTGTCTTAGAGAAGCTGTAGACACATTTCTGTGGAGAGTGAGCCTCAGGACTCTTCTCACATCCAGCACTGTTGTTTCTTTGTGCATAAATGACACTGGGACGAGATTCATCTGATCCAGCTATAAACCAGTACACAGTGTGTTCTCCTGGACATGTTTTCTTCTCAGAGTCTGAGAGGACTGAACACTGCAGAGTCACGGAGTCTCCTGGACGGACTGGATCAGATGGAGAGTCTTGAGTGACGGCAGTGATATCAGGTTCTGGTCCTTAGACATCAAAACAACAATAGTTAACATGTCATACTCAATTCAATACTGATACATTATTGAATTAAATGTCAGAGGGCTTTACAATCTCTACAATATACAACGTCCTCTGTCCTTGGACCCACGCATCGGATAAGCAAGTAGATTATAGACGGGTTGCTTAGGTTACAATGATCTATTCTTTAACAAAAGTCTGGTGACTTCTACATTAATCCGGCAAACCACCTGAATATGCAGTGTTACAAAACATTAAAATACGTAACATTGCTGTTATACAACATGAATAATTTCTGTTGCTGTTTTTACCTTTAATCCTCAGAAATATTCCTTTTGAAAATGTCATGGTGCTGTATCTCACTTTCATACAGTAGTAGACTGCAGTATCGCTGAACTGTGTTTTGTTAATATGCAGGACAAACTTTCCAGGTTCTTGTTTTGCTGTAATGTGACGAGTCTCCTCAACACCGTCGTAATTATTGGCTAATGTTCCTCCTAATATTTCAGGGAAGGTTTCAGAAACAAGCCTGATCCAGAATAAGTACGTTGATTGCCAAGAATGCTGGCGGGCACATGTTAGAGTGACATTTTGTCCAACACCAACAGTCTTTGTCTCAAAGATCCGATCTTCAGTGCATCCTGAAGATAAAATTAAAACAGAGTGATTAATAACAGAGATCATTCATATATCTCCTCTATATTATTGCATGAAAATGTAATTTTCAAATACTTATCTGGAGTAAATGTGACTTGAATACTTACGTCCCATTTTCAGCACGAGCAGTATAAAATATATGTTCATCATTTTCTCTTCTTTTCACATGAAGGACTGTAGTTAATTTAGATTGTATCCGAAGATGATTCACCTTAATAGAATCATATAAAGTGGGAGGGAATAATGTCAGAGCAATCTGATTGGCCTCTCGTGATGTTGGCTCTTCACTGTACTACCACAGCGGAAATATATCAACCAAAACCTTCCAACAAGTGTTGCTAGTGTTGTTTCATGTGTTTGCCATCTCACGTTACACATATTTTGTGTACATTTCTACTGTGAAGAAAATCAACAACAACAAAGGCACATTTCTCATGGCCCTGATGCAATTTGATCTCAAAGGGAACTCTTTTCCCACGCTCCACATTACCATCGTTCAATGTAATTTAAGGATTTCCACCTATAGATTGGTCCATAGCACTAAACCAACAATCTCAGGACGGAATTATTTATCTCACCAATATCTTTGCTTGGCAACTACAGTATGATTAAGTAACTAAAACACATTGCTGATGTTTGGGAATATTGTGGTTAGGGTTACAAATAAAGGCAAAGAACATTTTTACACCATGACGAGATGTAAGCTTCATTTAATTTCCCCAACGGCACAATAATATGAACTCAGTTTTCAGTGCTGGTCAAGATTGTTAATAGCAAAGACAACATTCAGGAAGTTACAAGTCCCAGTGAAACAGAAGTTGGAGCGTCTGTAGCTTCTTTACTGTGACATATTCCTCAGTGAAACGCAATATTTGAGCCGTGTACAGTTACAAGAAGGATTTAAATCAAATCCTCCACGTTTGATTGGACCACTAAAAAGTGGGTGGGCTTAGAATGAAGCACGTCACAGAGCTACAGAGGACTGTGGCTCTACACACACACAGATGCAGTGGCTAAGAGTTGCAGATTGAATGATGAATGGATGTAAAATGATTGGTTGGAATTGTTTGGTACTAGCATACGTAAGCAAACTTCACATTTTGTTTTACAGGAAGAAAAGACGATTGGTAAAAAAATACAGTGATTTTTTTTTTTAAGATATTATTAAATTGGTGCACAATATAACTGGGATGCGATCTAAAAGGGTTAAAAAGGCATTTTCCCATTTCATTTCAACTTTAAAGATGGTTTTCTACTCCTGTTCTACTCACACACATTAATTAAAGCCATTACACCACAAACCTTCTGCATGGGAGTAGTTTCCTACAAAGTAATGAGAGCAGGCAAAATACAAGTTACTCCCGTTCTCTAGGTGTGTGTGCAGCTCACCGTTACCGTACACAGTTTCTGAGAGGAATATAGTTCAAACTCAACATGTGCGATACATCTCTTGAGTATTACTGTGGTGCTATGAATGGGTGAAATCCAGCTGAACTAGAAATAAAAACCTAATCTCAAATTCAGTGGTTGCATTAAGTGACATTTAAAACCCTTAACCAGCCCTTGTCTGTTGTTTGTGGTCTTTCACATTTAGTGTTTGTCTATTGAGACTTTACAGCAATGGATGGTGCTACAAATTATCTTCACATCACTGCCATCTGTTGGTAAAAACCACATGAGTCATCAAACAGCAGACAAACTCTTTGTTTATTAGCTCAAGTAATATCAATATGTTTGTTTATTTAATCAATTCTCAAAATGAATCAGATCAATCAAAAATCACTTTAAGTTTGTGGTATACATAAAGCTATTAGATTCAAAATAGTCATAAAGGAGACCGGAAGACAGAAGAGACGTTTCAAATAACCCAGGACAAATTCAGATACTCCACTTCATCAGTTATGACCCGCCCACTCTTTCTGACATCTTTAGTGAAACACATCAGCAGGAAGAGTTCAGCAGAGAGAGAGAGAGCTGTTACACCATCCTCTATGTTGACACATGTTGTATAGTTTAGAGTTTCAGAGTCACCTGACACACGTGTGTTCCTGGGGTGATACAATAGTAGGGATACTTCACAATTGAACACAATCCCGTACAAATACATCTCAAACTCATCAAAAAAATGGCAGAGGAGTCTGTAGACACCGTCTTGTGTTTGTTCCTTCATGCATTGCTGATGGTGCGCACGGTAGTGGGAATTTAGTGTTGTTCTTTTGTTGCTGAAAGAACAATACTAAATTTGGGGTGAACTGGGTGGTTACTTTTGGTGCTTTATTGTGTCGGTTTTCTTTTCACAATGTGTAAGGTTTTGATTTACCACGACTAATGTTTTATCTCTGTAGCCTGTAATGTGCAGTGTACCTGCTAAATAAACAATAAATAAAAAAAATACCAGATACATTTGTATGCTGCCCTGTATTTTCTTGTGTGTGTGTGTAAAAATAGGCATTAACGATCACCACTGACAAACAAATGACGCGCGGAAAGTTCAGCATGGTTGTGGTTTGGCTGCCGAAATGAGGTGTGATTTGAAACCCCATTTACTTCCTTTCATTCTCACCATTTTAGTCTTAGTGAGGGGGGTTATGAAGCAAACAAAGTGCAGTAGACAGAAAGTACAGTTTCATGGTGCAGCAGGCTTTTATAAAACCACACCTGGTCAGTGATCCAGTATTTAACTCATGCATTGTCAGTGAGTGATTGTCCGGGTTTTTATTTTATTTGGTGGTTGTTGTTGAGGGACAGAGGAGTGCTACACACTCACTGATCCAACCCAGATCTCGGTGAAGATCTATGTTTTCTTCTACTGCTGCAAAATCTTACTCTCCATCAGTTATTCCTGCCACAAACACTCCCAAATATATAATGCGTCTGTTTCGGACACACACACACACACACACACACACACATTACACACACTCACGAGTGAAACATGCAGCTCAAAGAACTCATGAGACAGGACTGGTCTTTGGTAAATATGTTCTCAGATGTGCATGATGTGGCAGCAGGGCAGATGGAAACAGTATTAACACATTACCACTGTGTAGTGAAAACGGTCGACTCAAAGGTTACCGCTTTTCCTTTCATTTGCAGTGTGATGCACAGTGCATGTAGTGGACCTATACTCCTTAAGAATAAAACAAATGTACAGCAATCCAATTGCGGGCAAAATGTAAACGATCGGTTTTAGTGGTTGAACTAAAATGAGCTTTCTGCTGCCTCTAGTAGCGTTTCCCCCTCTTGCACCACAAACCTCACTACATATCCTGTTGATACTCATAGGCTGTTCTCTTCCAAGTAAGCAGCTTCAGTGGCTGGTCAAAGGCAGAAACGGCTCGCCTGTCAGTGTAGCTGTTGCATGTGTCTTTGCTTGTTGTTTTCAACGTAAACTGCCTTTACAAAGTGCTGAGACTGGAAAGACAGTGGTTGTCCCCACTAGATGTTTACTAATACATTATTTTGCAAACATTCCTGAACAGAAATGCACATACAACATAATCACTGCCCAACACTGCACCAGACCGAAATCATGTCCTGCAGAATCGCAAATTCATAGAGATATTGTGCTGAAAGCCAAATAAATGGTCCTGACATGTCACTGTCGAATGAATAACCAACATACACTGATAAACTAACCCAAAAAGAATTGGACTTTACAGAAACAAATTTAGTGAGCACATGTAGCAAAAAGTTTTCAACAATAAATTCCTAATAATTGGGTACACTGTTGTGACAAGAGTTAGTTTTCTTTTGTGGTTTGCTGCCTGTACACATCAGTTACATGATGTTTGGTGGTCTTGTGTTAGTCAGGTCAGACAGCTTTGTAACAACCAGTCTCTTACAGAAAAGTCAGAATTGTTCAGGCTGTAAACAGCCTGTTAAAGGTGCAGATAGAAACTCAGAATACATGTTGAGCATCACTTATGCAGGAAAGGTAAAAGACGTCAAATCAAGCTATTTGTCCTTTGCTCCCTGAGGCAGAGTAAGCGTATCTCACTTATGGTCCATTAAGAAGACGTTACATTTTATACTTTTTGAAAAATGAAAATGATTTTATTTTTTAACCTCAGCTTCATTATTATTGCGGATTTGTTGTTTTGTATATTTATCTTTAAACTAGCATTCCTCACCTGAAATGCAGTGTAGGTCTAACAATAAAGTAAAACAAAAATCCATCTGGATTTCATTAAAAGGGTAAATTATCATGAGTTTTGTCAATTTACGGTTATGCGCATTGTCTTCTTTTGAGCCAATCACTGTGACTTCTACTTTGTAAACCTTGATCACCTCGTGATCTTCGTCTTCCATTTGGCAGGAAACACATCCGCTGTGCAACAGAAGGTTATCTACCACGATGATCGGAAGACTGACCGCTTTGATTCTTCTTGGTACAGTGTGTAAGTAGAACTTTAAACATTATGATTGTTTAGATTTAACTGTGTTAAAGTTGTTAAAATACAAGTCAAAGTAACAATCTTTCTTGAAGATATTCTACGATTGTCACTGTTTTTGTTTCGTGTTGTAAAGTTGTTTGTATTTGTCCTTTTTCTTCAGCCTTGGTTCAAACTGCAGATCTTCCTCACCAGGTCTCTTGGACTGTGCTTGAACTTGGTGATAATTTTACTCTGTCATGTACATTCAATGAAAAGGAAGTCGGGTTGTTTTTCTGGTATAAGCTGAAGTTTGGCTATAAGGTCCAAACTGTTGCAGCAGGAACTTGTAACAAAATATCACTTCAAGAACAATTTGACAAGTCAAGATTCTCAGTCCCAAAAGTGAACGCTCAGTATGTTCTTGACATCAGAAATGTAAGC